TGAGACTATGTCTCACTCTGTTGCCAGGCTGGAGTGAAGTGGCGCAATCTCTGCTCACTGGAACCTCCGCTTCTGGGGTTCAAAGAATTCTCCTGCCTCAGCCTCCCCAGTAGCTGAGACTATAGGCACGTGCCACCACACCCAGCTAATTTTTGTATTTTTAGTAGAGACGGGATTTCATCATGTTGGCCAGGATGGTCTTGATCTCTTGACCTCATGATCTGCCTGTCTCGACCTCCCAAAGTGCTGGGATTACAGGCGTGAGCCACCGTGCCCAGCCCTTTTTTTCTAATATAAGCATTTAATATTATAACTTTCTCTCTAAGCACTACTTTAACTGCATTCCACAAATTTCAATTACATTGACTTTTGAATGTTAAAATAACCTTGAATTCCTGGAAAGAGCCCACAGTCATGATGTATTATCCTTTTTATATATTACTGGATTCACTTTGCTCATGTATTGTTTGGGTATTTTTCCTTGTATGTTTATGAGGAATACTAGCCTAATTTTTTTCCTTTAGGTTGACTTCTTCTAGTTTGGGTATCAGGGTATTAGTGACTTTATAAAATAAGGTGAAAATATGTAGGAAAACATCTCTGCCATGTTGTACTGACAACTTTTCATGTGTTCACATAGGTCATGTAGGTAAAGCTTAACTGTAGTCTGACCTGAGTCTTGTCAGGATGACCTGTGATTCTCCCTGGAACAAAGAGATACAAGCCTAGTTGAGAAGCTTCCATGAGGCAGTTTCTCACTAACCTCCCTATTTTATGGGAAACTTCCAAAACACTATTTCTCACCCATCTCTATAGTTTCACTTGAGCATAAGACTTTCTACCTCACCCCTTCTTAGTTTACATCTATAGGCTTCTGTGTGAGTGCATAAATTTAGAGATGGTTCCTCAATAGCAGAGCAATTCATTGCCCATGCTGCCTGTCATCTGGCCACTCTGGTTCATTGTTGTTCTGTGGGGTGAGGGACATGAGGATTTGACACCACTTTGATCTCACTTTTGTTGTCCGTATAAGTAATAAACCATTTGAATCTATTTGGGCTTGTTGTTTCCTTATCAGACAAATCTATGGAATTGTGGCAATCCAACCTAGCAGCTGCCCGAGTGCTGCTGCTTAGAGATTGCTTTACAGTGGATGTGAGGGCGATTTGGCTGCAACATCTATCACCCCATTGATCGCCAGGGTTGAGATTGCTTGACAGCTTGAGAAGGAAGTGTTCCCCTCTTCTTTTTTCCTGAAAGTGTTTTCCAGGAGGAGTGTTATTTCTTCCCTAAAATTTAATGGACTTCACCAATGAAGTCATCAAGCCTTGGAATTCACTTTGTGGGAAGGTTATTAATTACAAAGTCAATTTCTTCAGTAGCAGTAGCTATTTAGATTATTTTTAAAATATTTGATCATTTTTATCTTTCAAAGAACTTATACATTTTATCTAAGCTATCAAATGTATTGCCATAAAACTGTTCATAGTATTCCCTTGTTACTGTTTTAATGTCTGTAGGATCTGTAGTGGTGTCCCCTCTTCTGTTCCTAATGTCAGAAATGTCAGAAATTTGTGGTCTTTGTTTCTTGATCACTCTAGTTAGAGAATTACCAGTTTTATAAATCTTTTCAATGTACTACTTTTGTTTTCATTTTTTTTTTCTGAATTACTTATCTACCAGTAATACTTTCATTCATGTTTTGTTTGTCAATTTCTGGCTTCTATTTCTGCTGTCTATTATTTCTTTCCTACAATTTACTTTGAGTTTAATTTATTCTTCTTTTTCTGATTTCTTAAGGTTGATTCTCAGATCACTGATTTTGACTTTCCTTATTTTCTAATAAGGAAATAAGCAAATAATATAAGGAGCTAAATATAAGTAATTAAAGCTATAAATATAGCTAATATAAGTAGCTAAAGCTATAAGTTTCCTTCAAGGACTTCTTGCTGCATCCCTCAAATTGTGATATGTTGTATTTTCATTATCATTCAGTGCAAAAATATTTTTAATTTCCTTTGTGATTTCTTCTTTGACCTCAGATTATTCAGAAACATGTTGTTTCATTTCCAAATACTTGGGTTATTTCTAGATATTTTATTGTTAGTGATTTCTGATTCATTTTCATCATGGATAGAGAATATATTCTTTAAGATTTCTTTTGAAATCTGTAGATGGTTTTTTGTCTCCACATACATTCTATTTTTGTGAATGTTCCATGTACACTTGAAAAATGTTTATTCTGCCATTGTTGGTTATAGTATTATACAAATGTCAACTAGGTTAAGTTGTCTAATTATATTTAGATACTGTATATGATTACTAATTTTTTAGTTGCTCTATTAGTTATTGAGAAAAGAGGTGTTAAAATTTTCAACTATGATTCTGGATTTGTCTCTTTCTTCATTATTTCTGTCACACTTTGCTTCATGTATTTCGAAAATCTGTAATTAGATATAGATACCTTTATAATTGTTGTGTATTCCTGATATAGTAATCCTTTTGACTTTATGAAATATTCTATGTGTCTTTCACCATACTCTTTTCCTGAAGTCTATTTTATCTGATGTAAATAGCTATGCCAGCTTTCTTATGATTACTGTTCCTATGGTATTTCTTTTTCCTATTTCCAATTTGTGTCTCTATATTTAAAGTGTACATTATACGTAGCATATTGTTTAATCTGATCTGACAGTTTCTTTTAATTGAAGTGTTCATTTATACTTAATATCAGCATTGACATTATTATATTTAGGTCTACCATCTCAATATTTGTTTTTGACTTATTTTATCTGTTGTTTGTTCCCCTCTCTATTTGCTCTTTACCTATTTCTTTTTGGTGAATTTTTAAAAATATTTTATTTCCTATATATATCATTTTTTATGATATTTAGTGGTTTGTTTGGGGCTAAGAATATGCATCTTCAGCTTATTAATATCTATTTAGAGTCAGTATTTTACTACTTCACACCTGACACTTTGCACTTTCTACTTCACACTTTCTAATTCTCACTTTACATGTGGCACTTCTCACTTTATTACTACACCATGTAGTAGTAATAATAATAATAATATGGCATAATATTATTACATCATATAGTAATAATAAAGTGAGAAGTGCCACATATAAAGTGATAATTATAAGTTTTTTGTAGAATTATAAATCTTATAAAAGTACAGTTACATTTACCAGCCACACTGTGTGCTTTATGCTATTTTTATCATATTCTTTAATTCTATATGTCACAAATCTTATTTTATAAACCATATATTATTTTTCTGTAATCAGTTTTAAGGAAATTATGAAAAGTAATATTTAGAAAACCAAGTTCCTTCATTATTACCTACTTATTTACCATTTACATTCTTTTAACTTCCTCTTGTCCTAAGTTTCTAAATGTGGCACCATTTTCCTTTTAGTAGTATACGGCTACTGGCAATTAATTCTCTTATCATTTGCTTATCTGAAAATGCCTTTATTTCACCCTTGTTCTTGCAGGCTATTTTTATGGATATAGAATTCTGGGTTGACTGGGTGATTATTTGTTTTTGTTTTGGCAGCACTTTAAAGATGTCTAATTCCTCTGTCTACCTGCTTGCATTACTTTTGATGAGAAGCCAGCCACCTTGTGCATCATTATTCCTGTGTATGTAATGTGTTTCCTTCTTCTGGCTTTTTTCAAGATTTTCTGTTATTTTTGGTTTTTAGTTATTTGACTATTATGTGGCTAGGTATTGTTTTCGTTGTATTTATTCTGCTTGAGATTCACTGGGCTCCTTGGTTTTGTAAGTCAAAGTTTTCATCAAACTTGGAAAAAAATTAGAACCATTATTTCATATAATATTCTTCTGCCTCATCCTCACTGTTTTCTCCTTCGGAGACTAGATAATTACATATATAATGCGCTATTTGATGTCCCACAGGGCCCTGAGGTTTTGTTCAGTTATTTTTTCTGTACTTCACATTTGATAAATTCTATTAATTTATCTTCAAGGTTACTAAGTCTGTCTTCTGCCTTCTCAAGTTGCTATTAAATCCCTCCAGTGAATTATTCATTTCAGTTATTGTTCTTTTCAGTTCTAGAGTTTCACTTGGTTTTGAGGAGGTGCTTTCTACTTCTCTGCTTAGATTCCCAATCTGTTCACTCATCAATAACATATTTGCCTTTAATTCCTAGAATGAATTTTTCATAGTTGCTTTGAAGTCTTTGCTAAAACCAACATCTGGATCATCTTAGGGCTTACTTCAATTGACTATGTCTCAATTTTGTGGTTTTAAATTTTTAGCAATATTTCATTATATACTTGACTTCACAGATGATATCTTGCCTTGCCTGTTTATAGCCAAGACTCAGACATAGACTTGCAGGAGACCCCACATGGATGCTTATATGTTGAATTGTATTTTCCCAGAATTCATGTGTTGAATTTTTAATCCCCAGTACTTCAAAATGGTTTCTTATTTGGAAATAGGATCTTTATAGAATTAATCAAATTAAACTAAGGTCATTAGGATGGGCCCTGGTCCAGTATAACTAGAAGAATTTGGGGCACAAAGATAGGCATCAAGGGAAGGCAGTATAAAAAGATATAAGGAGAAGATGGCCAACTATAAGTCAAGAAGAGAGGCCTGGAAGAGATCCTTTGTCACAGCTCTCAGGAAAAACCAACCTTGTCAAACACCCTGATTTTGAATTTTTAGTCTCCAGGTCTGTGAGAGAATAAATTTCAGTTGTTGAAGCCATCCAGTTTTTGTTAGTTTGTTATGGCATCCTTAGCAAACTAAGACATGGACTTTTAGTGCTTCCTCCCATTTGTAGTTCTCCCATCTCCAGGACCATATCCCAAAGATCACAACCATTTTGCTTTCCCAAACTCTGATCTCTGCCTCATAACCTCAGTAGTAACAGTATGCACTGCTTGGATTCCAGCTCACTTCACTGCACTTGGGAAATTTTCCCCATGCAGAGAACTGGAGTAACTCTGCTTTTCATCTATTGCTCTCAGGGTTTGGGAGTCTTGGGTTATCTGTTGCCTAAAGCCTAGTGTTTAATTTCTAATGCCTGAAAGCCATTGCCTTGTATATTTTGACTAGTTTTATGGTTGTTTACTGTTGGGGGGGCTCCTCTGGCATCTGTTAATCCATTATTTCTGGAAGTGGAAGTTCGCCACATTTTTCCTCTATAACCCCATAAATTTCTTCCACTACTGTTGCCTCATTTCAAAATAAATGTTAGACATTATGTAATTTCATTCTAACTGCTTTTGATATTTTCTCTTTTATTTCAGCAGTTTTACTGCAATGTACCTCTCAGTGTGATTTTCTCTGAGTTCATCCTTGTTGAGGTTTGCAGGCCTCTTGAATCTGTGGTTTGATATCTTTTATCACTATAAAAGTCCTTAACCATTAGCTCTCAAAAGAGAGCTAATGGTTATAGACCTGGTATAGTTGCTCCTGTTTTTTCTTTCTCTTACTCTTTCCTCCTGCTATACCAATTACACATTGATTAGATATTCTCATTATATTCTCTATGTCCCTTACTCTCTCTTCCATGTTTCTTGTTTGTTTATCTTTGCATATTCTGGCTGTTTTCTTCTGACCTGTTTTTGGCAGTTTACTTATTCTTTCTTTGACTATATATTATATGTTGTTATACCTATCTAGTGAGTTTATTATTTTGGTTATTGTATTTTTCTGTTGTGAAATTTCTATTTGATTCTAATTTTTATTTTCAATTATATTTGACCAAGGAGGCCCCAGATGTTGTTGCACTCACTTTTCTGATTCTGTGTTCTTTTCTGTCTTGCTCCCATAATCCTTGTATTTTCATATCTTTGACATTCTAGAGAGACTGTTTTTTAATGTTTTGACTGAAATTTTCATCTATTTTTAGTGGGAAGGCTAATCCCTCATTATCAAAAGTGGAAGCTTCAACTTTTCAACTGGATTTTCCCATCATGGTCAGGCAGCCATGAGCCAGGTATTCATCTAGCCTCTAGTATAGCCCTCATCACATTTCTTTTTCATTCTTCATTTATCACTATAACAGGAACTCTTTAAGTAAAGAAACAGAGTCCAATTTATTTCTGCATCCTCAGCATGTAGCACAGTATGTGGCTTACAACAGATACTCAAGAAATGTTTTTAGAATAAATGGAATACTTAGGCTGTGCTTCTTAGGAGAGAAAAGACTTATGTTGAACCTCAAAGGATGGTTGGGCTATGCAGAGAATAGAGAAAGACATATTCCAGAATCTCAACAAGGATTTATAGGTCCTTTCAGGGTCCTAGTTGTAAGCAACAGAAACTAACTCTGAATTACTAAAGCAGAAATAAAAGGGTTTCTAGGAAGGGTACTTGGTAGGTCACAGAATTGCTGGGAGGCTTGAGAATCAGGTTTGGTTGCCATATGACCAGATTTACAGACATAATCATATCACGGAATTAATCTGATAAGAACAGCTCTGTTACACCACTGAGCAGTAGACCCTCTAGCTTGTTCACCAACATTGCTATTGCTGGCCTCTGGTTCCCCTGGTATAGTTGCTCCAGGACATGAGATTCTATGGCATATTCCCTACTGACCCTGCTTTTCTTCATCATTAGCACTGACTCAAAACTGAATTTCCTGAGCTTCAGCCATGTACTATCCTCTAGCTTCAAAAAGAAGCTGGGAAAGTGAGTAACTGGTGTTTCTTCAACTTTCTCAAACCTGGGAGAAGAGTTAAGATGCTGGGCAGTCAAAAAAGGGATAGATATCCACCATAAGCCTAAAGCAGGATTGTGTGGCATTGGTGCAGCTGGCTCATATATGCCTACCTGTCTGGTAGGAAAGAGTTGGCATAGGATTAAAGGGATACAAACACTCACACCCATGCCCCCCGAGGCCATGCCCTAAGATTTCTTGTCTTGTGGTATGGAACTCTTGGGAAGAAGTTGTCCATTTTGAGTTTTTTCTCCACTTGCCTCTCTCACCACATCTCCTACCCATCTGAAGGTATGTGTACCTCTTGGGACCAATAAATCAGTTTGTCACAGACTTCATACACAGCTGTTTGCCTACAACATGAATCCAAGCCCATTTCCTTGCTCTTGTGCCTTTGAGCACATGCAGTGGCCTCCTAGAGCTTCTCTCCAGTATCAGTGTCTGAACTCAGGAGCTTCTCTTGTTTATGAGTGTCAAGTCCCAGTCCTACAAGCAGAGCAGTTGTCTTTTATGAAGCTTTGGAAGGCTTCAGGGCAGGACACACAGAAGTCCTCTGCCCCTTCTACAGTAAGTGATTTCAGCCAACGCTGGGGCTTTGGTGTTTACTGTGATGTTTATGTTGTTATTTGATTTCTTGGCATTCAAAATCCTCATTAATATACATTTGTGCCTCCCTGTGGAGACAAAGGAGCATGTTCTCTGTGTATGTGCTCACATTTCTTTATTTAGCCTGGCACCTGCCTTCTTCCCCAGCATCTGTGCTGTTCCCTTGCAAATATCCAAAGCTTATAATTCTTAGAGAAAATGATTTCTCTCTAGGAAGATTTTTCTCTTTTTCTTGAAGTATCCTTAAGGGCTAAGCTCTTGTGTCACAGGCAGGTAAGCTGCATCACCCACTCCAGCAGGTGGGGCCACTGCACTATAGGCCCCCCTGAGCAGGGGTAGGCATCCCAGGCCAGTGACTGCTGCTTCTGTGGACCCTCTTAGGTCAAGCCCCCAGAAGTTTCCAAGGATGACTCACATACAAAAATTTGTCACCTGCACTGGGCAGTAAGGTGGTTTATGCCAGTTGGGCTCCGGGCCAGCTCTGAGCAAGAGGGAAGGTGTCACTGGAATATTTATGAGTGGCTGCTGCTCACCAGACTTCAAGAGAGCTGTCCCTCGGGTTTTAGGAGCTAAAAGGAACGAATGAGACTGTCTCTAAATAGCCCTCAGGAGCTGGTCCCTGAGCTGGGGGACTTCCTGGATGGATTACTGGACTGCAATCTGGATGATGGGCATTTGGGGCCATTCCTCATAAGCATCCATTTGGATCTGGGAGCATACTGTCAGCCTGGCCACTTGTTCACATCTTTATCTCTGGAGGTGACACAGAGGAGACAGTATTGGGTGATTATGTCATGCCAGGCTAGAGTCAGCCACTCCTGTAATTATATCCCAGCTTCACCACTTATGCACTTTCTGACTTTGGGCAGGTTGCGTTCCTTATCTCAGTCTCTTATCTCCTCATATAGAAAACAGAAGGATTCAATGAGAATGTACTTCACACACCTAGGGCAGTTCCTGGCTTATAGTAGGTGCTTAATAATCAAGATCCATTGTTACAAAAATAACACCGAGCTTGAGGACTCAGTTTGAGTCCCAACACTGGCCCCAACTACCTCAGTGCTGACAGGCAAGTCACTCCCCTTTCTTTGCCTCAGTGGTCGAATTGGATAACATTCCATGCGCTGCTTCCCTCCTTAGCACTTGGCGAGTTGTAAATGGATAAAGAACATGAAAGAGGTTTGCTTCCTGTCAGCTGCTGCCCAGTGGGAGAGAGGATTGTTTGGACTTAAGTTGGGAAGACAATTGGAGTCAGTGAAAAGAAAGATGCAGTCATAATGAACCAAGGTGGCAAAAATGGTCACAACTCAAGTAGGCAGAATGCCATCATGCTG